TGGCTCTTTTTTTTTTTTTTTTTTTTTTTTTTCCCTTTTGCTCGATAAACAATGCAAATAAACGACAAATAATCCATGAATGTTGTCACGTTTATTGGATCACTCCCTGCGAAGAGTAAAGAAAAAAGAGACTATACAGCAACAAAAAAAACAAGCTCTGACATATATACGTATGTATATACGTCTCTAATAGTAATTAAGCTTATCGACAAATTTTCGTATCGCGAGTGAAAGATGATTATTAAAATTCCATCGAACTTTTTTTGCCTCTCCGACGAACCAAATATGCCCCAAAACGCATCCCCCATTATAAGTACTCATAAGTACTCACGTTTATCTATGAAATTGAGGGTGTACTCATACATCGTTACGTTAGGATCGAAAGTGCAACTTTCCCTAATAAGTAATGCCGACCGAATATAGAAGACGACACTCGAAAAAAACTTACAACGTGGAAGATATATTTTAACATGACGCCACGGAAGGAAAAAAAAGTACAACGAACAGCCCAAGGAGGAAATGCCGCACTTTCAACCCTCGAGTCAGGAAGGAAAAGTATTTAATGGGGAGTCGAGGGGGGAATGGAGGGTCTCTATTTCAAGATCGATGGTAAAAACATAACCTCCCAGGAGAAGGAAAAAACCCGTACCCCCTGGTGGCAAAAAACGTAGCACCTTCAGCGGTGGCGAACTTGAGAAAAAAAATTGTATGTAGTATCTACGTTCGTCTCAAACATGGCGATCCCAAACCCCCCCGGGGGGGGGCCACGCCACCATGTTAGTTGGCATAGGTAGAAAAAAAAAAAAAAAAAAAAAAAAAGGAAGAATTACAATATACGTACTTGACTCTTGGCGTACTCAATGATGGATTTGTAGCTGAGGGTATTGGCCAGGTCGATGTTGTCGGCGTTCAAACCAAAGGGCACGGACATGTATTGCACCACGGCGCCGACGTACGTGTCGCGGCTTCGTTCCTATACAGCCGAAAAACAGGATACTTCAGTAAGGGGAAAAAAAAAAAAGGAAAATCCTCGATCAGCGAAATTACCTGTCCCAGAACAGTGGCGGCAGCAACCCCGAACAGAATACACCGAAAGAGCAGCATCGTCTTCGTACAAGACGCACTCGCGTTTTTCTCGCAGCCCAAATGCAAGAAGACCGATGATATGGCAATTTGAAAAACAATGTTCTTTTCCAGTGTCGCACAACGGACTATGACAACGATCTTTCAACACGCGCCTCCAACTGTACGCTCTAATGTGATTTTAAGCTCCGACTAACACGCGCACCTAGGCTTTGTCGTGTAGTGATAAACATTTTCGTTGAGACATCGCGGGGAGGGGGAGAAAGAAAATTTTTGAACAAATGCTTCCCCGAATCCCAAAAATGTACACGGCGGCAATCGATAATTAAATTTTCATTCCGTGCCGAAAGTGGAGAGGTGATGAGTGTCGTACTTTTCCCCGAAACGGTAACTAATGACACCGGGCGGTGGACGATACGCAACAATGTTTATACATTTATTAATAATGACGGTTTCGTTCGCAACGTACGCTGGAAGGAACAGTTGTATATGTTTTAAAATACACTCGACGGGCAGGAGAAATTTTTCCAAAAGCATACGCGTCACGGAGACAATGGGCTTTTAATTGCTTCTACGATAACCGGTGCTCGCCTCGAAATCGAGGGCGATTTTGTCGACTTTCGAAAACTTCACACCAAAGGCGCTATCACGATATGTATTGGAAAATCGAACAAATGTTCGACCGACTTTTGTAGGAAAAAAAAAATTTGTCTGTCGTGGTATGAACAAGTTCCGTTTGTCCTGGTTGCCAGAGTCGTCGCGTTTCGTCGTCCCTTACCTGTCCACGAGGATTTCCAAACAGAAGAAACGTCGTGAATCGCATAATATCCGTGTCTCACATGGCATCTTTTGCAACATTCGCGTGGTAATTCCGCAACTTTTTCTTGAACTTTCTGAACATCTCGTGTCGCACATCCACTCTGAAGGCTCCACAACCTCACCCCCTTCTCCTGTGTCGTTGTTTTCGTCGTCGATAAAAACCTAGGCCTTGTCATCGTGCTTAATAACTTTCAGCAGTTTGGGGTACGTCACGTCCATCCTGAATGACTCAACGACTTGTCCTTTCGTGCCCCCTGACGGCCTGCCCAGTGACTCAGTGACTCTTCCAACAATACTTTCACGGCTGACTTTGATGTCACCTTCGAACTCCTCGTCGGCACTAAGCTACTGTACTAATCTGTACTTGAAACTACTGTTGGCAGAGCCTATACTTTGATCCCGCCAAACCTAACCTCATACCGGCATTTTTTCTTCGGTTGGAAGTGTGTTGTACGTTGGTCAGCGCGAAAAACAATTCAACAGAGAGAAACTACAGCAAAGCCCGTGAGTTTGACCATAGTTCATTGTTCATGGACCACAACATGTATATTTATGTCAAAGCAGCACCAAGAGTTGATGGAGATGGAATTTCATCGCAGCGGAGCCCGGTAGAGTCTGAAGAAACATAATACCGGCGTCCTAGGGGGAGTCACTGACGAAAAGATTTAAATCCTGTATCGAGCGTACATAAGAAGGGCATGTATTCATGCGAGCAGAGAGAGAAAAAAGGTTTCGGTACCTGTCTATCTCTATTATTTTTTATTATTATTATTTATTACATCTCTATGGTAGAGGAGGCCATTATTTCTGGCCAATCGTCACCGTCCGACACACTTACCGAATGCAACCCCAAAGTCTGTTGCAAAAGCCCTGATCGACGTGGTTTGAACTGGTGGGTCTAGCTACATATGGCTCGTCGTACAGGTAAAAAGCGATTCTGGCGAGTTGATGAGAGATCGAAGTTTTTTTTTTCTAATCAGGTGTACACGCGATTTTTCCTCCTTTTTTTAACAAGGTACAAAATCGCAAATCGATCGAAAACGATCTTTGAATGAAGAATTTGACTTTCACGAATTGCTCGCTATAAAAACTGTATGTGAGTAAGTATGTACAAACTATACATTTACGTTGTCAATTAGTTATGTAAATATGTGGCGTCTCACATCCCTCGCGCTTCAGGCTCCACTCGCCAGGTGGCCAAGCCCCTCATAGTTCGCTCCCGTCGAGATAGTCTAAGCCCACACTTCTTCTATGTCTAAGGCAGGGAGCACGTCATCAGCCTTTATGATGAGTCCTGGCGTGCTCTCGGGACGAAACACCTTTTTCTCTCTTAAAGACGACCTCTTCGATCTCTATAGATATACATCAGTTGGATCGAAAACGCAATGTTTAAATCGTAAAAGTTTACGTCATTGTTTAGGAACACAATTAAAAATTGATTGTGAATATCGAATGTGGATGATTTAAAAAAATAACAATAACACAATAATGTTGGTTGGTAAACTTTATATTTTTATATATACAAATGTCAAATAAAAAAACACATGTTCAGTATAAACTTGGTATATAAAAAAATAGATAAATGCAATAACATTCATTCATACATTTTTATCTTTGCAATATTTCATTTGATGAAAAAAAAAAGGCATCACATTACAAAAGATAACAGAGCTCCTATTCATTTTTGAAGTTCGGAGAGCGTTTCTCGGTGAAGGCTTTCATGCCTTCCTTCTGATCCGCCTGTGTACAAAGAAACAATAATCAATTAAGACGTAGAAGAAAAAAAATATTCATATAAATGTTCACAAAAACTCACAGTTGCAAAAGTCGACCAAAACAATCGCTTCTCGTAGTCCATGCCTTGCTGAAGAGTAGTTTCGTAAGCTAAAACACGATGATTGGGAAAATTAAAGGTGCTGTAAGAAAATGTTGACAAAGCTGAATAATAAAATTACCCTTGTTCACAGAATCCTTGGCCAGGGCGACAGCGACCTGGGAGTGCGAGGCAATTTTCTCGCCGAGCTTGACGGCCTCGGGAACTAGCTGTTCAACGGGAAAAACTTTGCTGACGAGTCCGCTTTCTTTGGCCTCTTGGGCGGTTATCTGATTGCCGGTAAGAACGATCTCCATGGCCAAACTCTTACCGACGGCGCGCGTCAGTCTCTGAGTACCACCGGCTCCGGGTATCGTGCCGATCGCGATTTCTGGTTGCCCAAACTTGGCCTTTTCGCCCGCGTAGACGATGTCGCACATCATCGCGACCTCGCAACCGCCACCCAGCTGTGGAAAAATCGATTTTTTTTTGTTTTTTAGAAAGCATTCTAACTTTGACTTTTCAACAGAATCCTATCTTATCAGCAAAGTGCCTTTTTTAGCAGTGTTTTATACGGAACGAATGTTATTTGATCAAATAAAAATTACTGATCCGAAAATCCTTTTAATGTTAGAATTGAAATATTTACTTCAAACTTTACCCGAAATTTGTGAAGTGAATAAAATGTTTGATTAACATTTATTAGAAAAGACACGTAGTCGGTAAAATGGATTTCTGTAGTCATTTTTGCCCAAAATGACAGTATAAAAAAAAAACTCACAGCGTAACCATTGACGGCTGCGATGATGGGCTTCTTGGCTTTGGCAATGCCGTTCCAGGGCTCCAAAAATTTTGTCTTGACGTTGTGCGAGTAGGTGTTGTCCATCATCTCCTTGATATCGGCGCCGGCGGCGAAAGCCTTCTCGTTGCCCGTCAGCACCACGGCCCCGATTTTATCATCGGCGTCGAGCTCCTCGATCGCGTTGTTCATCTCAACCATCAACTTGGCGTTTAAGGCGTTCAAAGCCTTCGGCCGGTTAAGCGTGATCAGGCCGACGTTGCCCTTCTGACCGACTTTTTCCACCTTGATGAACTCGTAAGCCGGAGCTGGTGCTTTTTTGGGGGGAAAAATCAGCTTTGTCATACAATTTTTTTTTTTTTTTTTTTTTTTTTTTTTTTTTTTTTTTTTTTTCATCAGGTGTATATGCATGGACTTTGTCGTTTTATCTTACTATACTCGTGATGTACAATACTCAACAAAATCTCTCCACCCATAAATAGCACAGTTCAGTCAATAATTATTAGCTATTATGTTTCCTATTAATTATAACTGTATTTATCTCCATAATCAGCTACAATAGTAGCTATAATTGACTACAAAGTGGCTATAATCATGTACAATTATTAACTATAAAAAGTAGTGTATAAATTTCACGCTAATTCCAAACAACAAACATTATTTAATCATCTTTTTTTTCTTTCAGGTATATCCGTCATAATGGGCGCTATTATCCATATGATAAAATTAAAACGGAGAGGTTCAAGTATTTTTAATCAATAAACAAAAAAACGAAAAAGTTTTAATGATTAAATTATTTTTTTGGAGAACAAAGTTTGTTTGGTTCTTTTCCAAAACATAATGCGCTATTTTATTATTTTGGCTGGAAAAACTTTTTTTTTTATTTTTAATTTGAACGCAAAGTGTGTTTGAATGGCCAAGTGAGTAAGTACAATTTTTTTCGGGGAATTAACTTTTTTTTTTTTCTTCTACTGATTACTTCGTTCGGGAGCTTGAACAACGCAACAACTGAGTATCAGAGATAGCAGTGCTTCTTTGTAATTGTGGATTACACGTTTATTTCGTGTAATGTATTTTGATGGTACTATTACCAAGTTAGTTCGACGAGGAAGATAAGCACTTCTTATCAACGAAATGTGTTTTTTGTTGATAGAGCCAACAAAAAGTGTTTCGTGAATGTAAACAAGATTACCGGCTTTCTCTTGATTTCTCCAATTTTTACGTGTCTTTTTCATTGAATCGTTCAATGATGTAGCTTTTAGTAACCTTTTTTTCGCTTTGTCCGTTATATTAGGCATTAAAAATTTTACAAATGTATGTATGAATGTGGAATTGAAAAGAAATACACGTGTGCGTCGGTGCGTGTGCAAAATAAAATGGAAAAAACAAGAATCAAAATAAAAGAACATCAGAGCCGGTTATGCTAATATATAGGTGTCTCGTTTCTCTCACATGGTATTCGTTATACGTGGCATGTATACGAAAGAAAAAAAAATTAAGTTGCCGTAATAAAGCAAAACTAATTTATGTTTCATTAACTACGTGAAATCAAGCAAATTTTTTTTTTTTTAATTGGTACATAAAAATATTTTCGAGTAACAATGTTGATTGGATTGTTGATAAGAATTTTCATAACGATTATGTAATGGAACGATTAGAACGCATCAGAGGAACAAAAAAATTACTACGAAAAATTCACGCGTATCAATGATATGATTAAGTACCATCCAACCCAACTCTCCTACACATTATTTTGAAAAGATATTCGAATAAAAAAATACTCAACTACTCTGGTTGCAAAAAACAAACCAAAATATTAAATTACAACAACACATGTTGAAAAACGTATCGACTTTTTCGAAAATCAATTAAGCTTCGCGAGTAAGTATATATATATATATATGATTGATAAACTTACTGGAATAGAATTTCGGAGTCTGGGCGGCACACTTGACGAGGTTAGACACTCGTCCGGCCAACAATCGTCCAACAGCTGGATTAACCATTTTTCAAACGTAGAATGTAACAAATTAACACCCAAAGGATGTTTAAAAAAAATAAAATGATTTAAAAAAAATAAAAAACAGCTATCGCCTTCCTTTGCTCGGCAATTATACTACTGATGACAAAAAAACACTGCTCTCTGCGGCAACAGTGCGATGCGGAATCGGTGGTCTGAGAGCCAAATACTAGCCTCACCCTGTATGTTGTACACAAAATGTACTAAAAAACACTTATCAATTTTTGTGATAACATAACGAACAGAAATACATATGCATATGTTTGCATGTATAGCTTCAACATTAGTTTAAAAACATTTTTTTTATTTGTTGCAGAAAAATATGATTTTTTTTTAATAACATGTACTTGTACATCAAAGTGTAATGTTTGATTAAATTTTAGATTTGTAAGTTTAAAAAACACAAGTCGTCACGTGATCAAAGCTTTTATGTTGATTGGGTGATTAGTGGAATTCGACTACGTTATAATTTTCAAGAACAATATTTAAAAACAGTAGTAATTTGTAAAATCATCTGTAAAACTAAGTTTTTCAACAATAGATTTACATGAAATTGGAGTCTCGTAAGACAGCCTAGAACAATATCTTTAAACTTTTACAATTTTTAAAACTCGTTTGACAATTGTAAACCTGAAATTCAAAAAAATACACTCAACCAAAGTCGTCTGCTAACCTAGAAAACAACAAGTTGTTTTGTGGTGCGTGCAGCATCGCACATGCGAGATTGCAATTTGCATTACATTTTTAATTCGTCAATTGGGCGAAATTTATTCTATAAGTACGAATAAATAAGGCAATAGATATGAAGAAAATAAACACAGAAATTTTAAGATGAAGCTATCAGTTTTAAAAGAACATATCAACAGCTGAAAAAAGTTACTATACCCAAGTAGCTGCAATTATTTGGAACTGTAATACGATGTACTTACATGTGCAGATATCAAAAAAATACGACGGCTAAAGATGTGCGTTATACGGCCGTTACATCACCTTTTTAAGTACATTTATCGCCGCACTAATACAAGAACAGTAAAGTAAACAATTTTCAACAACACCGAACCAACAAAACCAGTAGCTACGATCTTGGTAAATAACTAGTGGACAGTTTAAACTAGTTTGTCGAATAGTTGTGCTTGTACAGTGATTTGTAAAGTACAATTGGTGTATTTATGTTCGTTACTTTATCAGCTGCTAAATTTTTAAGTTTTTCACAATGTCAAACTTTGAAGGTAGTTCCCACGAAAAACTAGAGCAGGTTTTAAAGTTGTTCCTACAGCCAAAATTCAATGTTGTGTCTACTACATACTTGGATCTGTTATTAACTCACATCAAAGATGCAGTTAAAAATGGTATCGTGCATTGTTACAAATATATATAAAAGTAATATAAGTATGGTATGTGGTGACTGACGTATTAATTTTATTCTTTAGGTGACAAAAAAATTTTCCAAATCATTCAAGATTGGTTAACTACTGTATTGCACACATGGAATTCAAACTGCCAGCCAAGTCAAAATTTGATAGTTTTTACCATCAAATTGATTGGTACCATATCTGTGGAAGAATTAGATTTTTTGCGTTTGAGCCAAGATGGTTTACACACTAGGATGTGCGAAATATTTGGATATGAAACCGAAAATTCTTCTGCATCTATTAAAATGGCTTTTTCAATTATGCTTGTTAATTTACTTGAACACCAAAGTGGACGGTTGTGGATAGCAAATACAGGTATTTACAATAATTTTTTACATTTTCAACTACAAAAGAAAATTAATATTTTACACAAATCATCAAACGTCACTTTAGGAGCTTGGAAACAAATCTTGGTATATGCCCAACAAAATCACACGATGTACGTGACAAGAGAGTGCCATAAATTTTTGTCCAGATTACTTATTTTGGAAAACAAAAATGAAGACTTTTGCCGAGAAATGATCCTAGCAATATCAGAACCACTTATGAAAGTGACAATCGACTCACAAACAACAAACAAACTATCAGATCAATTGCTATTCAATACGAGTAAGTGTAGCTGTAACGAAATTAAATTGATGTTTTATAAAATCAGAAAAATCGAACGATTTTATTTCAGATAAGCAACTTCACAATGAACAAATGAACCTTTTACAAGCAACAATAGAGCTGTTGCTGCAAATTATAGATTACACAACATTCTACGATTTTACAAACCCAATTCCTGCAATGTTTGAGAAGCTTGTGTCTATGGAGAGTCGTGTGAAAACTGTATTTGAAACGACCATCAGTACTCCGATGGTTAAAGTGGTGCACAAGCTCGTCAAACTACTTATTTTTGTAAAACTGAGATCCTCGGTTAAGGAGACGGATGAAGTTATCCCTGACAAGATTTATGAACAATTCACATTTGGGCTGTATTATCATGCTATGATGTTGTTATCCAAAAACTATATAACAGATTTTGTGCTATCCAAGAAATTAGGGTACGAATTTTGGAAGAGATTAATAAAAACTAAACCCTTGAAAATACCAAAGACTTACAGGTTTGAAGATCAAAATGTAGCTTTGATGGTGAGCCAAACTCCAAATTTTGTTGCAATTTAACCATTTATGTTTTATAATATCACACTGTACAGATCTTGCCGTTAACTGCGACGTTCAAGCCTGAATATATGAAAAAGCACTATCTTTTTGAAGAATTTATCAACAAAATGTTTGATATCACGAGCACACCTGTACAGAGACTTGCTTATGCTGTACGTGATGTCATATTGAAAAACAACCTACCCATGGAGGCCATATGTGTTGTGACAGTTAATTATTTGTTAGAAATGGCTGACATAATGGACAGGGTAAATAATAAAAATCGACGAATAAATGAGACGAGTCATTTTATATTATTTTCAAATTTTAGGAAGCAGCTGTGATGGTGTTTCAAGTTTTGTGTCATTCCTTAAAGAATTTTGTGATGGACAGCTCGCAAAATAACAAATCGTGCTTTCCAACAGATAATTCGACAGTTGATGGTACAGTCACAAACAACAGTGTACCAAGCAGTGTGTTTAAGAAGCAAATAAGAAATTCGTTCCTTGACGGTGACCCGATCAACGATAAGAAGACGTTGCTGGCAGCTTTGCTCAACGGTTTAAATACATTTACCGAAAAGTACAAGCTGAAATGGCAGGAATGCGTCGAAACCATCTGTATGCTGTCCATCGCTCAAGATATACTGAACCACACAGGTGTTGATTCCAAGGTGCATTTTAAATTTGATTATAAAATTTAGTTTTCATATTTGCATGATGATTAATGAGGAAAATTTTTCAGATTTGTATATTGGCTTTGAAAACGTGTAAGCTGTCGATACAAAACTTCATGCCGCCAAATCTTGCATTGCTCGTCGATTTCGACGAGTACACGAAACAAATCGGCCCTACTCTGTTCAAAAGAATACACGACACAAACTGGGAAGTACAAGACAGCGTACTCGAAATACTAAACACCATCGCTTGTCTTTCTGAATTCAGTTAGTACCCAATGACTTGTTTTCATTAAAAAATACATTGACACCAAAGAATAAAGCAACATAACATTTTCTCAGAGTATCCACCTTATCAGTCATTTCTGTTGGAAAATCATTTCTTACAAGTTGCCATTGACATTGTCAAAAGAGGAGGCGAAAGCTACGTAAGAGCCTCAGCTTTGACCTTTATTTCTACTGCAGTGCGAATAAATACGCTTTGGGAGAAGCTCTTGAGTCAATTGAATTTACTGGTATGTTGCGAAAAAAATGTTTAATTATTTTTTAAAGAAAAGAATGGTCAAAGTTTAATCAGATTTGCAAAATTTCAGGATATCGCCATAAAAATCCTACACACGGAAAGCGAAGCTATCGTCAGACGAGAAGCTGTAGCTTTGATAAAAGCGCTGTATATTCATAGAAAATGGCAGTAAGTATCGATATTATCATATACGTTTCGATGAACACAAAAATCCAAACTTTTTAATTTTGAAGGAAACCAATGATTGACACGATGAGCAATGCAATGACTGTAGCGGCAGTTCACGATCTCCACTGGGAGGTGAAAGTTAACGCGCTGGATTATTGGAGACATTTCATCACGTCCCATTTAACCGACCAGGGTATGTTGGATGGTCACTTTCCCGCTTGTACATTTTCCAAACAGCACAGAAAGATCGTCACGCTGGATGCGACAGAAATTAAGCAACGACTGAACAAAGCTCTCGATGAATTGTCTCAACAAAACTGCCTTGGAGTACGTTAAATAATAGTACACAAACATATATATTTACAACCACTTTTTAAAGAAAATTGTCCGTCTCTTAGGTCTTGCTGGTTACGTTAAAGGACGAAAGCGACTTAGAGGTGTCCAGGACCTCGGCCAACATAATTGGCAACCTTCGCAATATTTTGCTTAAATACATGATCGACGAACCAGAGCAAAAATCTACTCCTCTCAAAGACATACCAACTATCGACAGCAGTTATAAAGTGTGTCCCCAAAATACTGCTCAATCCAGTCCATCCGTGGAAAACGTTAACGATGCCGTTATCGAAGCTATAGTCGACGCGAGCGATGCAAATCTGTTGGCTGCTATATACAATGAGACAATGAAAATGGACGAAAGCATTGAAAATTCAGAGACAATCAACGGAAAGGAGACACTTGAGTATATAAAAAGCATCACGCGTCCTGAATTTCTGAACGCGATTCTCAAGTTCAATCTTGATGAGTACATCAAAGAGCGCAGCGAGTGGCTGCAGAACTACACCGTGAGCTTTAACTCGGTGCTGGATGATATTCTAGTCATCAGCAATCAGAAGGAAATAAACACAATGGACTGTTATTGAAGATTTTTTTTTTTTATTCATCATGCCACAGAATGCTATATTTTTTTATTTTTATCTCTTCAGACTTGGCTGTTAAGTACGGGAAATCTTTCTTCTGCGCCTTGGCTTGCTTTGGTTGTTGTTTAAAGTAATAGAATGGGTGTACAAATAAAAGGTGTTGAACATGGGATTTTTTATTATACAAGAAAAATCTTGTATATTTTTATTAAAGAGATCATAAATTGACAAGTTTTAGAAAAATATTTAAAGTTTAATGTATTCGTAAGAACAAAGTGCCTTAATAATGTATATTTATTTAAATGTTAGCCGAACGCTCGATCTTATTGATAAATTGGAAATAATTTACCTTTTGTAAATTTCATTATGGGTAGTCAAGAAAAAAATAATTATAAAAATGCGATTTTGATATTCGTGACAGATTGTGGTTTTGTAAGAAAATTTTATAATAAAATCATCCTTACAGATAACTTTTTATTCAATAGTGACTTTATACAATTAAAATTTCATACCATTTTGTAGTACTAATTATTTTTTGACTATTAATAAGAGAAAAAAAATACAATGATAGTTTATCGAAATATACACACGTGTTAATGAATTTCAAAAGGAAATCTCAAGTGTAGGATTCGTCACAAAATTGTTTTGAAAAAACAAACTGGTAATCAGACCTTCATAATCATATACAAATCAAAGTAACCATCTAAAAATGTAATTCAATGCAACACCTTATTATCGAATATTGATCCATTTAATCCTAAAGATCTGATAAATTTGAGTAATACCAATAGAATTTTCTTTTAAAATACAATTACAAATCCCGTATATATATATATACACAAATAAGTATGTATATATACTCTCACAAAATATTTTTTCTCCTCAGTGACTTTTTTAAAGCAGACAGCCGTTTATAATCTTCAAGTTCATGACACAGACCATTAGCACTCCGCACAAAGTCTTCCATACTGATCTCTCTAGTCCAACAGAGCTCTTTTTTGAGCACCCTCATGTCAATAAACCTATCAAACAAACTTACATCTATGGAACTCTTTTCGAATCCCCTCAACTCTTCCTCCTCTTCGCTTTCAACTTCACCCTTCACCACCACTTCCTTTGGCACTATAGGGATATCAATATACCTCTCCACTCTGACTAATGGAACGGAGCAGCTTTTAGGTACAATGGCTATTTGTACACCTCGATCCCTTTCCTCCTCCTCCTCCTCCTCCTCCTCCTCCTCCTCCTCCTCAACTTCTTCAATTTCCTCCTCAACCTCTTGCACTTCCTCCTCGACTTGTTGCACTTCCTCCTCGACCTCTTGCACTTCCTCCTCGATTTCTTGCACTCCCTCCTCGACTCCTTCCTCTTCCACGTCTTCTGTTTCCAACTCTATCACTTCTTCCACGGGCTCCACTTCGTTTAGCAAACCATTGTGAACAACGATCTCATCGTCGGTTCTCGCTTTGCTCAATTGTACAGTGCAATCGATGGGCGACTCGGTATTGTCACCCTGATCACCATTGACCCTCAATATACTACTGGAGAGGTAATAAAACTGGGAAGGCTTTTTAGAAAGGCTGCTCCAAATGGAACGTTGCTCCGTGTTCTCCTTTTCCATTTGGGAAGACGAGGACTTTTTTGGAGCACTGACTATCTTGACCAGGCCCTTCCAGCCTATCACCGAGAGAGACAGCTCCTCTGTGCTGTGCTGATAGGTCTGGTGCCAGTGCAACTCCGACAATGATACCTTGGACGACTGACAGACGACGCATTGGAAGCGCGTGTCCTCGAGCTTCATCCTCTTGGCTGCTGCTGCTGATGCTGGCCGTGCTGGAGCGGCGGTGCCGGCATTGCTGTTGTCCTGCAAACAAACGTGTTCTCTCGACTTAACCACAATTTTCCCAACCGGACGATTGTAGCTTCTGTTTTTGCTATATACTCGCAGTGTGTGATCAAACTCTCTCTCGTCAGGTGCAAGTACCTATATATATATATATACACGTATATAGTATACACTTGTGAACGTCAGTTGACAATCGAATATCAAGAGATCACAACAGTGGATACCAAAATAACAGATGTTCAAATGTTTACGTGCTCAACAATACGACATACTGGATGAAAAAGAATATTATAGGTACGTGTCATTTGTTTGTCACGGGTGACGCATATACAGTGTGCATTATACGTTTGACTCACCTTCTTTAAGTTAAGTACCCGTTCGGAGCCGTTTTGACTGTCGGTCAGCATCAGTTTTGCTTGAATTCATTAAAACAGGAGATGGTTGTTGGGTTAAAAATTACAACTCAGTTATTGCGCCGGAAAAACGTTAAAAGTGTATGTACATGATGTAATTATATACGCGTTTGTTTTAAATAAAGATCCGTGAAGTAAACTAAACATATACCCAAGCGCCGTATATCACAATATCTATATGGCTATGGCGCGCGTATATATATTGCACACACACAAAAGGAGAGAAAGTATAGATGAGGTTACGTTGGGTCTGTCAGCTGGTAAGTAGGTACGAAAAACGCGCGTTTCCAAAATATACCGCGAACGCGTGGAATATACCATCAGCTGATTTGTTGTAAAAACTATATTAATACTTTTGTTAATTTTTCTTTNGAAAAAAAAAAAAACAATTTTCCCGATCGCGATTAAAATGAGAATTCGTCAGTATACCAACAGAAGCCGGTGCATGTACTAACCCCAACATTTCTAGTAGACGCTAGCTCGCCAACGAATCCAGCCAAAAGGAACGAAAAAGGAAGCATTGTCCACCAGCAACCATAAAAAAAAATCATCAACTAAATCAGGAAAAAAAAAAAAAGAAACAGAAAATAAGGAGCGAGACATCGAGGGATGTCGTACTACTTTCGCGAGCGTCCGCGTTTCGGCGAGCGATTTCGTGGAAAATCCGGGGACGAGCTGCTTCAAGAATTCAAGCAGCAGCTTGACGAGGATCGCCCGTTTTTCGAGACCCCAACGACGACGGGGACGACGACCGCCGGTACCAATGGAACCTCAAGGCCGGCGAGGGATCCCTTCGAGCGTCACACTTCGTTCCCGAGGGTGAGTTTTATTTATTTTTTTTTTCCCCCTTTTACTTGACTTGTCATGCACCTATGAATTGCGTATTCTGAACATGTTTTTGGATAAAAAATACTACGAGATTTGAAGCTCGTCGAGATAAAGCTAAAAGAATAAATTAAAAAACATCAATTTACGGAGCACTTTGGTAAACAAAATTTTTTTAATTTCTCCCATTTAAAGCTTTTTTTACTGATTTTCCGTCATTAGAGCATTTTTGTAAAATATATATATTTTGAGCAGACGTGGGCATAATTATTTAGTTGATTTTTAAACATTTTTTTTCTTTAACGAACAAAGAGCATTGTTTTGTCTAAAAAAAATGTTATTAATCACCATTTACAGTACAATATTAGTAGAAAAAATTCTTTTTGTCAGATAAGTGCGTATATTAAAATAATTTTTTATTGCAAACTTTGCCTATTTTCGTTCTATTCCCCCCCCCCCCATCTAGTTGTAATGCAATGTTTTTGCTGGGCTCTGTGATATTAGTAGAAATTGAAAAAAAACAAAATGTTTCTAATGTTAACAATGTGTTGCACTGGTTAAAAAAAAAAAAAAAAAAAACAACGGATCCATCAACCTTCTTTCATATACTTTTTATTTACAAAAGAAAAAAAGCACGCCTCGCACTAGTGACCTCAATGCAATGTGTGTAGATCACTAAATCATATTTCTTTCTTTCATAAAAGAGATAAAAAAAAAAATAAAAAAAAGAAATTTGTCGCTCGTCCATGCAAAAATAACTTTGCTGAACGAGAAAGTTTCACTCGAGTGTGCTCCGATTACGGTGTATATTTTTTCTTTGCGCACTAGGTATTTTTTTGTTCTCTGTTCACAGATTATGTTTTTCAGATAAGTAGACCGGTAATTTTTGCCCGAAAGTTTCGAACGATTTCTAGATGCACTAATTTGAAAAAAAAAAAAATCTAAAATTTCTAGATTTTCACGTGTCTTCTATAAACAATAAAAAGTTTTTGTAATTTTACTGCATTGGATGTTGGAAATAATGCGACATTTGATGCATATGTTGAATGTCTCATTATTTCCAACGCTAGTGGTAAAATTACTAAAAAAAACTTTTACAGTGTATACAGTACCCCCCAAAAACACGAGTAAAATTTTTTATTGGCAAGAAATCGCTATGAAGAAAAAAAGAAAAATCGAAAAAACTACCGATAATTTTTCTCGACAGGTGAGGTAATACATCGATTATGGAAAAAAAAAAAAAAAAAATTAGGATGATTCCTTGCGATTTTATTCAGATAAGCGCGGAGTGAAAAGTTGCTCTCGCACGGAGAGTTAAAACACAGCGCTTGCGCACACCGATCCGATTGGCTGCCGGTGAACTAGTACCTCGTCGTCGAGAACTTTTTTTCCTTCCTCCTTTCGTGCACCAGCGATTAGTCGAGCGGCGCGGGCCACGCGGTAAGGGTCACATTGCACATACACCAACGTTCCCGGTTATTTATAACCGTAGATAAATACTACCTCGCGGTCGGCAACAGTTTTTGTGATTTTATTGAGGTTTTTTTTTGTTTCAAAAATTAAATAGTAAAAAAAAAGGTGAATTAATATTAATTTTGTTTGTTTTTCTAGTGTTGTTCACTCATTGTTTCAAAGTTCATAAAGGTGTTGTTCGCTTGAGTGTGGTATTTTATTTGTAGTTGAGAAAAAAAAAATCATCCCTACTCCCATCACTTTAATAGAACAAAAAAAAAAAAAAAATTAATCGTTCTTATCGCGTGAGTGATTTCCCGAAATTGGTGATTACACACTTCGATTTATTGCCTTTAAAAGATACTCGGTAATAATGTAGATATTTTATTAGGGGAAATAATTATTTTCGCTAGTTTTTCGGCAATGAAAAGTTAGGCTATTCAATGTTCACTATATGTTAACTGTTTGTATAGTGTCAACACAAAATAGGTAGTATTGTCGATTAACGCGATGATAAGCTGATAAATATTCGGTAAAGTCGTTTCAACGCCATCTTTGTGAATAATTACGCACCTTAATTAAAAAATGCATAATATTGGTCTTTAATTTAAAACAACTATCTTTTAAATTTTTTTTTTGTTATTAATAAAATCCTCCTCGTAACATATAACTTATATTCTTCCGAAGGAACGCCGTTTGCGAGAGAAAATATATGCATCGACAGCTGTACCTATCATACATGTACAATGTTCTGTGAGTCTCAATAGACACGTGAAAGCCAAAAGAAATTTGTCTTTAATTACAAAAAACTTTCTATTCGTGTATTGTAATAAATTACTATTATTTTTATTTTTCTTTCAAATATTAAATCACCGAACTATAATTGTTTTAAAGATTATCTCCAAAACGCACGTACTTTTAATATCATTAGATCGGTAGTAAAAAGGGTAAAAATTTTGTATATAATTTATTGTAATTACTATTTACTCGGTGTTTCATCACGGAAATGTATGGTTGATTTTAAAATAAACGAAACACCATGCACTTTCAGTATCGTGAGATCGGAAAAACGTATAAAAAAACTTTAATTTCTTAAACTTTGTATTAATCTTCTTGTTTTAAATATTTGGATATTAATAATTCTTAAAACTAAACTATTAACCGTCTTTAAAGCCATGACTTTTTAAATATTAAAAGTTTGCGTGTTTAGAGTAAAAATTATAGTCGAGAATTAGGTGAAAAAAAAAAAAACAATTTTCCCGATCGCGATTAAAATGAGAATTCGTCAGTATACCAACAGAAGCCGGTGCATGTACTAACCCCAACATTTCTAGTAGACGCTAGCTCGCCAACGAATCCAGCCAAAAGGAACGAAAAAGGAAGCATTGTCCACCAGCAACCATAAAAAAAAATCATCAACTAAATCAGGAAAAAAAAAAAAAGAAACAGAAAATAAGGAGCGAGACATCGAGGGATGTCGTACTACTTTCGCGAGCGTCCGCGTTTCGGCGAGCGATTTCGTGGAAAATCCGGGGACGAGCTGCTTCAAGAATTCAAGCAGCAGCTTGACGAGGATCGCCCGTTTTTCGAGACCCCAACGACGACGGGGACGACGACCGCCGGTACCAATGGAACCTCAAGGCCGGCGAGGGATCCCTTCGAGCGTCACACTTCGTTCCCGAGGGTGAGTTTTATTTATTTTTTTTTTCCCCCTTTTACTTGACTTGTCATGCACCTATGAATTGCGTATTCTGAACATGTTTTTGGATAAAAAATACTACGAGATTTGAAGCTCGTCGAGATAAAGCTAAAAGAATAAATTAAAAAACATCAATTTACGGAGCACTTTGGTAAACAAAATTTTTTTAATTTCTCCCATTTAAAGCTTTTTTTACTGATTTTCCGTCATTAGAGCATTTTTGTAAAATATATATATTTTGAGCAGACGTGGGCATAATTATTTAGTTGATTTTTAAACATTTTTTTTCTTTAACGAACAAAGAGCATTGTTTTGTCTAAAAAAAATGTTATTAATCACCATTTACAGTACAATATTAGTAGAAAAAATTCTTTTTGTCAGATAAGTGCGTATATTAAAATAATTTTTTATTGCAAACTTTGCCTATTTTCGTTCTATTCCCCCCCCCCCCATCTAGTTGTAATGCAATGTTTTTGCTGGGCTCTGTGATATTAGTAGAAATTGAAAAAAAACAAAATGTTTCTAATGTTAACAATGTGTTGCACTATCAACCAAAAAAAAAAAAAATTATACTTAAAAAAAATTCTTAAAAAACGTTTTCGAAATCCCCTGTACGGAGAGAGCTGCTGAAATTGCCAAAAACAAAGATTTCCAGAATATAGTCAACCCCAAAGGATTTAAACGCACCTTGACTTAAAAAAAAATAAACAAATGTAACTTTTTTTTTTAACGAAACCCGCTCGTCACACCAAAAAAAAAAACCCCACAACTGCAGTCAACGTATTGCGTACGCACGTGTGAATCAATCCTCTTTTCTTTATCCTCGGAAATACACGCTCTTCTCTCCCCCCCCCCCAAATAAGATTGTGCCCATACGTGCACACTTACACATATATACCCTCGATGTTGCGTATCATTACTATGTAGGCCGCTTTTTAGTGCGCATTCAGAGTCCAACGAACCCCCAACTCGTACATATACATATATATAGACAAGTCGACGCCTTTTCATCGCGATAAATCGTCTTCGCGTCCACATATATATACACATAAGATATTGTGCAACTCTCCTTTTGAGATAAATGCGCTTCCGAAGCCAAAGATTCGAGGATGCGCCGCCCCGCGCGTGTATGTAATATAATACGCTCTTAGCGCTTGTTGGACCGGAAAATATCGCGCGATATCAAGGCGATACGTATTCGTTTTCCGTCACTTCGAGTGTACGTATAATACACACGAGGGAGGGAGATACACATGTCACACAATGCCATCACCCTTGTGTTTGTCAACGAAAACGGGGGGAAATAGTATTATATATATATATCTCTCTCTTTCTCGTATACCCTTCGTCTCATCCAAGTCTTAAATATCTTGCGCGAGTGTCTGACATATCGGCGGGAGGTGTAAAAGACGATTGGTACAGCGAGCTTTTAGGGAAGTATATATATATATATGTGCGCGTGCATCTGTTTGCGGGGAGAGTCAATTTTGTTTGAGTGCGGGTGTTGGGGTCGTTGGCCTTTTTTTTTGGGATGCTTTTTCCGGGTGGATATTATATCCCCTGGGCGGAAGGGAAGGTGGTTTATATACTTTACATCGCGGCACTGTGGCTGATGCTTGGAAGAAAAAAAACTTGTCCGCAACGAGGGGGTTTTGTATACAGAATAAGGACGAAAGTGCCTTTTTTTTTGTCCAATGGTTTTTTACGTGTAGGTTTTTTTTTTTCAGAAGCACCGGGTGGAAAAACTGACATGGTTATCCGGTACCGCCATCCGGAGACTATTTGCCGTTTTTTACGATAAATTTTATCGTATAAGTGCGGTGTTTTGTTTTTTTTTTTTTTTTGTCACTTTGTCTAGCAATTATAAACAGTAAAATTTATACGGCTAAAAAAGTAGAAAATCCCGATGGACGACCGATTAAAATACCTCATTACCATTCAAGCACGGCAATTTTTTATTGTTCTTTTCTCTCTCTCTCTGAGTGTGGGCACTATTTTTTCATTATAAAAATAAGCCACGTCGCGTAAGGTTTTCAATTTATCATGCAACTGGTTTATATTAAATGTACACTTTTCAACTTCAACTGATAAAAAAACAAAAAAAAAAAAAAAAAAAAAACAATACGAAATGGATGCATTTTACAATGATCGTGTTTAATTATGACACGAAAGTATAGTGTTTGCTTCTTTTTATTCGATTGTTCCGAACCACAAATTATATCGAGTCTCTCGATCCTTCCCATAACTCTGGGTACTTACACGTGGACATTGAAAAAACTGAAACTTCAAATCTATATACAACACTTGTTTTTACCAATAACCCTTATATATATATATGAAGCGCACAAAAACGTGATCTAGATATAATCGAGGGCGCAGTAAACCGCCAAACTGAGTCACACTGAAGAAAAAAAAAAAAAAAAAAAAAACCTCGACATCAGCACCACGCGCATAATATATAACCCACAAGCACTTGATATTAAAATCCTCCTCGTAACATATAACTTATATTCTTCCGAAGGAACGCCGTTTGCGAGAGAAAATATATGCATCGACAGCTGTACCTATCATACATTCAACGTCAATGTCCAATCGACACTTTTCGTATGTGTATATACAACGTGCCAAGTATACGTGTGTACATAGTGATACTAAAAAAAAAAAAAAAAAATCCTTAGTCGGTCAGCTTCTATATATACACGATGGATGATTAATCGACCTCTACGAGACCATCGCGGGTACATATATTTATATTTAGATCTCTAGCTGACTGCTTACCTTGATTCATTTGCCTTTATCCCTTTGGTATGACGAGCGCGGCTGATTAGCCCGTGTGCCGGGGATTATCATCTCTCTGCTCGCATAGGCACGTGACTCTATAATCGCGTTCATATTTACGAAAGATGTTCGCTAAGGTGGGAGGGGAAGGGGGGAAGAGAAAGGAAAACTTCGCGTGCGCATATATAGTATACGCCGGAAGAGACTCTTTTTTTTTTTTTTTTTTTCCCTTACTCGCGATTATACTTGCGCGTGGGCGGGAGAGAGGGATATACAATTTTCACGAATAGAGCCGCCGCCACGTTATATCGCGGGAGATAACAAGTATAACGGAGTCTCGTAAATCCCCTCTGCTGTAAGTTGCGGTGACTTCGTTGTGTATATAATACACGCGGTTCGAAGTACAGAGAGTCGGTATGAGTCAGAGATACTATATTATGTGCGCGAGCTTATCGTTTGCTGGGGATCTTGTAATTTGGAAAATTATAGTCGAGAATTAGGTAAAAAAAAAAAAAACAATTTTCCCGATCGCGATTAAAATGAGAATTCGTCAGTATACCAACAGAAGCCGGTGCATGTACTAACCCCAACATTTCTAGTAGACGCTAGCTCGCCAACGAATCCAGCCAAAAGGAACGAAAAAGGAAGCATTGTCCACCNTATATATATATATGGGTGTCGTCTCGTTGTCGCGTGAACAAGAATCAATAAAAGAACAAAAAAAATGAGATTCCTCGTGTACATCACCTCGTTTTGAAACGTTTTTTTTTTTTTTTTTGTTTTTAGACCAAGGATTGTGATTATTATTTTTATTGTTCACGCGTGTTTCTATTCAAGTTTTTGTTTTTTTTTTTCAAACAATACGATTTTTATTATATTATACTGTTGACATGATTGTCTCTGCAACGAAAAGTACGATATATCGTTAATTCTCTCGAGAGTAAGTACATCGTGGGGGTTTCGTCATTTATATATGTATACGATCGGTACGGGGTTGGCGCGTAATGTCCGTTGACACGAAATTTTCTCATCAGTGGACGCTCGTTGGGGCAAGGGTGGGCTCGCACATTTTCGGACTCGATTTGTTTATTGCTCTGTGCACACAGTCACGCGTGTAAGTGGACCGTTGATCTAATTTTTCTTTTTTTCTAAAATATACCTTACAATGAGGTTTATCAAACCTTTTGTATATTAAAAAATAGGTACTTTCTGAAATTACTAGTTTTTCGCGTCATGCGTTTTTGACTAAAATTGTAGCGCTTCCTTTGGGGGGGGGGGAAAGTTAATCTTGATTGGAAAACTCGAAATGATATAGATGTGCTGCTGAAAAATGTCATTAACTCTATGTATGGTTTTTAATACGTTTTTATTTGTTTATAACCTCGTGCGAATGTGTACGCAAAATTTCATAAGGAGATGGAAAACTTTTACAACCACTTTCATAAAAATTGCGTTTAGTTGTCATGCTTTTTTTTTTCTACATGTCATTCGATAGATTTTATTGCTATTTTTAGATCGAAAAATCACCTCAGAGGTATATTCTCAATTTGTAACAAGAATGAGCTTACTTTGACGTTTTACAAAAAACATTTTACCAGCTCCATCGAATCAAACAAAAAAGATGAAAAAAAATCAACGACGCATCTGCAGGTGTGTTCAAAATCCGCGGTGTATAAAAATATACATCCCGAGTCAATTTTTTCAGAAAGACAAAACACAATAAAAATGTTGTACAGTTGCTCATCAATCATCACAGTACGATTTCTATACTCAAACGTTTGTTTGTTTTTTTTTTTTTTTTTTTCTTAAATATGTACTACCATTACACGTATTGCATTATTTTCACCATCCAATAAGCGATGAATAAATTTCAAGACCGACGTCGTTCGGTTGTTCTATTGCGATGAAAAAAATGCAACATAATCGTTCTTTCCGTATAAACAGTTGAAGACAATTTCCGACGCAAACGCACGGAAGAAAAATCGAGATAACACCCCCGTAAATACATCCAAACCGTGCACCCACGCGTGTATGTGTATACCGATCATAGATAAGCGCGATGAGGCGGTTAAACCGATATTCCCCCCCTCCCGATATAACATCTCTTTTGCGAGCGCCATCCCCACACAGTATACCTACCCATATATATATACATCATTGTGCGTTAAAAGGACCCCCCTTGTCTCGCGTATATAATATATTGATCT